CATCTTCACAGGTGGATAACTCTCTGGCAGGACCTTGATTGCAACTCGATTTTCTACCTTATAGACCCAAAGCCCTGCCAAGGATGTGTCCCCTGGGGAGCACACGATGCAGAAAGGTTCTCCAAAGGCAGTGTGCTGCTTGGGCTTGAGAAAGAGCCAGAAATGGAAAATTCTGCTGCCCCTGGCATGGACTTCAGTGACCCCTCTGGGAGCAGGGCAGGGAGTGATTTTGGGGCAGGTAAGGCCACACCCTGCAGGTGCCTCTGTGGGCACAGCCTGGCTTTGGGCAGCCTGAGGAATGATCCTTTTCCAAATAGGCCCACACTGGAGAGCTTTTGCTGGAGGAAATCACAGCCAGCACCTGCTTTACTGATGTGGCTGCTCTGGGATGAAATCCTGGGAGAAAAAAGCCCAGAAGAGGGGCGGGGGTTCAGGAAAAGCATCTGCTGGAGCTGCAGCTCTGACAGCTGAGGAACGTGTCTCTGAGCCCTGACTCTCCCATGCCCTTGGGGAGAGGAGAAGCTGATGGGGTGGCAGCTCTGTGCCAGCAGGCTGAGGGCTCTGCAGCTCAGGCAGATTCCTCACTGCTGGATTTGTTCAGGCTGGAGAGTTCCCTGCAGGGGGAAAGCAGGCAGGGACTCACACAGGCAGGGACTCACACACATCCCTGGGTTTCCTCTTCAGCCTTCCTGGCAGGGCAGAACGTGAGGACCAACATAAGGATTACCTGAATTTGCCCCTGGTGGGCTCAGGCCAGCCTATGGCTGAGAAATGGCTGAAAACTCCAGAGCTGGGGTGTTTGCTGTTGGTATTTTTGTTTCTGCTGGGGAAGGGGTTGGGCAGAGCGGGTCCAGCTCCCTGCTGCCAGCACAGGGTGATGCTGTGCTGCCCAGGCAGGACCTGGCAGCCCTTCCCCACCATGACATCACTGTGACTTCATCAGGGCTGCAGCACAGGGCAGGGGCTCCCATAGCTCACAGCCACATGTCAGCCTGCCCGTCTGGGCTGGGATGTGAGGCCAGCCCGGGTCACAGCCTGTCTCTGCTCCTCTCTCTGTGCCATCTGCAGAGGCAAACTGCTCCCAGCACCCTCCCACTGCCACCCCAGGGGCACTGCCCTGCAGGGAGTGTGGGTATAACCAGTGCCATCCAGTCTCCTGAAGGCCTTTCCCTTTTCCCTTCCTGGGATTTGGGTCCTCAGCGATTTGCAAGGGCAGAGAGTCAGCTGACAGTGATAGAACGACCTGTGTTTGGAAATGGGAAAGAAGGAGCACAATATTAATTGCTCCTTAACAATTATTCTTCTCTGGCTTGTCTCCGAGGAGAAACCCCTTGGGACAACTTTGTGCTGGAACATGATGCAAACAACGAAGAAGTTTTATCCCTGACATCTCTAAATTCTGCACTTAGGGGGTGATGGATGAGGATCCAGGGCCCAGCCCTGCTCTGGCTGTGTGTCCTCTGGAGAAGCACAAACACAGGAGCACCAGATAACTCACAGTCACCCCTGTCTGCTTTTCCCTGGGAAGCACAAGGTGTCTGAAGGAAGGGACAGTCACAAGAGAGACCTCACAGACATGGGAGGGCAGGGAGGTCTGTGCCTTCACAGGACCTGGGAATTGTCACCCTTTCCCTTGGAAGTCCTGGAGCCAGAGCCTGTGGGTCCTGCAGTGTCTGAGACAAGGCTTGTGCCCTGCCCTGGGCCTGGGGAGGCTGGAACAGTCTCTGCAGAGAATTGCCTCTGAATTGGCCCTGCCTGCCTCACGTGGTGCCAGCTGCTTTTTAAATAAATTAGTGTATTGGGTTATAATAGTTCCTCTATTCAATTCCTTCTGGAGAGAAAACTAGTTTTCCTGAAATTGCCTTCTCAACTCCATAATCGTTACACAGCAAATTGCCTCGGGAAAGAGGTTAGAGCAGGGCAGTGGATGGGTTCTGCTCTGCCTGTGCCTCTGTGCTGCAGCGGGAGGTGGATCAGGCAAATGAACTCATCAACTCCCTTGCTTCACGTCAGCACATCCCTCTGTCAGAGGTGGAGGGGGGCTGGAGGCTGTTTGGGAGCTTATTATTCATTTTTTATAATTTTTTTCTTTATTTTGACCACAGCATCACTGCTGGGAAGACACAATCCAGGGTCCATCATCCCTGATGAGATCTGGCAGGCTGCTGCCAGGACCAGGCAGGTCTTTAGGCTGTTGCTTTTGGCCATTTCTCTCATTACAGGCTTCCAGCAGCTGCCTTATCTCATGGAGAGGCACTTTCATTAGGTAGGAGAGGAAGGGAAGGAAGAAGAAATGAGGTAAGGAAGGAAATGGTCCAGGAGGGAGAACAGGCAGGAGAATCTGTGAACTCCAGCTCCTGGATTGAATCAATGACCATTTCTCCTTTGCTGCCCCAGTTGTTGCTGAGCCCTTTGCTTCAGCAGCCTGGAGCACGAGACTGAATGTGCTTTTGTCCTGGCTCCAGCCAATCCTGCCTTGCTCTGGGTTTACTTGGCTGCTTTTATGGGGTCTGCTCTCCTGGAGCCCCTCTGGGGTGAGGGCAGAGGGTTTTGGGGCTCCCGGGGTTCTGCGCTGCTCGTCTGCGACTTCCCACTCGTGTGTAAGAACTCAAACCCTGGTGTCCCTCAGAGCACACAGCTGGGGAAAACAGGCTGTTTTTCGAAGGAAAAACTTGCTGGGCACCAGGTCAGGAGCAGAGCCCTGGCAGCCTGAGGCAGGAATCCAGCCAACATTGCTGGGAGCTCCCAGCCCTCCTCACACCCCACCTGCCCTGTGCTCCCCCAGGGCTGTGAGCTGGGATGGGAGCACTCAGAGACTGCAGGGAGGGCTTTAAAGCCTCTCCTTGAGGCAAAAGCAGCAACAAGAGATGCTTTAAAGCTGGTAAGTGAAACTCCCTGTTTGGTTGGTTGGTTGGTTGGTTTTTTCCCCAACACTGCTTTGGAGGCTCAGGGTCCCTCTGGCTACATCAGAGAATCCTGGAATGGTTTGGGTTGGAAGGAACCTTAAAGCTCATCCAGTTCCACCCCCTGCCATGGGCAGGGACACCTTCCACTAGCCCAAGTTGCTCCAAGCCCCATCCAACCTGGCTTTGGACACTTCCAGGGATGGGGCAGCCACAGCTTCTCTGGGCAACCTGTGCCAGGGCCTCCCCACCCTCACAGGGAAGGTTTTTTTCCTTATATCCAGTCTGAACCTCCTCTCTGTCAATCTGAAACCACTCCCCCTTGTCCTGTCACTAAATATCTTGTAAAATATCCCTGGGGAAGAACTCAGCTTTTGTGTGGGAAAGTATGGAGCCATCAGCACAGGCTAAACCAGAGAATTAAAGCTGGTGAAGCTCAGTAACTGGCTGTTAAAGGTGATTTGAAATCCTCAAATTGGGAGTTTGGAGAACAACATCAGGGGGAGGTGTTGAATGCACTGTTTTATGTGCCAATTATTGACCCTTTCTTGCTGATCTCAGCAGAAGAACTGGAGACAATTTGTGCTTGTTAGAGCACGGGGCCAGAACCCCTCCCTTCCCAGGGCAGATCCTCACCCTGCTGTGCACAGGCACGACCTTGCCAGCCTCGGGGTTACGGCAGCAGGAGACAACATCTGGCTGCTGGCTCCTCAGCTGTGCTCTGCTCACTGCTCCCAGTGGGAAAGGGGAGGTCGTTTCAGTGGGAATAAGTTAAAAAAATGACAAAGGGAATGTCTTATGCTTCACAGCATCTCTGCAACGTGCCAGGTATCCCTGTACCACGGGCACTTCAGCAGCTGCCAGGGTCTGGCATCACTGTCACTTCTCCTTCACCTTTCTGCAGAACCGCGGAAAAATGGTGAAAACTGGGAGGAAAAAGCTCTGCTGCTGTCCCCCTCCTCCCTTTTTCATCTGTGTGCCAGTGTTTAATTTGGAAAGCTCTCTCAATTCAGTCACTGTTTTCTCATTGCAGGCAAGCAGGATGGGTAGAAATATTGATCTTCTTTTAATGAGTTTTAAAGGGAAAAGTGAGCGTGACTCAGAGCAGGAAGGCAGCTTGGGCTGGGGGATGTGTCTTTATTTTTCACCTGCTCCTGGTGTATCCTTTCAGAATCTGCTCTGGTTTATCCTTTCCCCTGCCTGGGCTGATCCTGCTCACCGGGGTTTGTTGCAGTGAAGGTGTTTTGTTTGGTTTTTTTGTTTGGTTTTTTTTGCTGGCTGTGCTCAGATCTTCAATTAACTTTTGCATCTTCGTTTAACTTTTGCCAGGTTTGGTTTCCTGGCAGCCTCGGGGCATGGGATGCTCAGAGGGGAGATGAGCTGAGGCTGCGATGGTCCTGGGTTGGGAACAGCAGCCGGGGTGAGTCCTTCCCCTCCTCTGTGCCCAGAGCAGCAGAGGATGATGCTCAGGCTGGATCCTGTGCCTCTGCTGTTCCCTCCTCTCCCACTGGTGCTCCAGCACCACCTACAGTCCTCCCCGGGCTGAGGAGATGCTCCAGGGCCACTGGGCACAGCACGAGTAGGAAAGGCTCAAGCTGAGCCAAGCTGTGCCTTGGGGGGTATTTGCAGCCCTGCCTGTTGCTTTCTGGCCTAAACACGAGATGGGGGAGCCTGGAGAAAAAAATCCAAACCCACTCAAAACCCCCCGTTTTCACCCCAGCTGCCCAGCACAGGGTGGGGTTGTGCCACCACCCACCTGGTGCTGTTTGGGGACAGCACAAACCTGCAGGTCACAAAACCCTCACAGGAGTTTCCCTGATTAAACAGCATTAAAAATTCATTGGTGACCTGAGCAACAAGCTGTCAGCTGTACCTTTCAGGGGTGGAGAAGGATGTGAATAAGAGAAGTCCCTCTTTCATGGGAGAGCTCTTTCATCTGTTTCTGCTTTTGTTTTTGGGGACTGGCAGCACCTCGGGCGTGACAACTGTGGTGGAGCATCCCCTGGGTCAGAGGAGGATGAGGAGATGCAGCAGCACAAGGGATTTCTGTTCCACCAGGAGCTCTACACTGGTAGGAAAAGCATCTCCTGCCCCACCATGGCCCAGGCAGCAGCCAAGCCACGGGTTAGAAACTCTCCCCCTCCCGTGGGGCCCCGGCATCTTTCAGCAACAACAAATTACATGGCAAAGCAGAAGCTGAGCTGGGAGCTGCTGCCTGAGCTTTGCTGCTCTTGGTGTGCTACAGCAAAGGCTGCAGGGAAGATCCAGCACCTGGGCAGGAGGGGCTGTTTCCCTGGGATCTCTGGGCACGCAGGGCGGGGAGGATCCCCCTGAGGGACAGGGACCCACCAGCCCTCACCAGCACGTCCCTAATGCAGCCTGTGGGCAGGAGAGTTGTCCTTTATGTGTCACAGCTGGCACACACTTGGCTGGAGATGTGGGGGTGATAAAAGCAGCTCCAGGCTCTTTTCTGATCTTTCCCCAGCCTAGGATGTTCTGTTCCTCAAGGTGCTCAGAGCCAGCAGGGCTGGCTGGAACTGCAGCCCCCTGCTCACACCGAAGGCCTGGGCACTGCCACTGCCCCTCAGCAGCACTTGGGGCTTCTCATATGGCAGGTAATGGGGGGGGGAGGGGGCAGCAGGTGGGAGACGGGTTTGAGAGCTGAGGCAGCTCCAGAGCTGCTGATCCCACTGGGTGAGGCGCTGGGGAGGGATGGGAGCGTTCCCTTGGGGCTTCCCAGCCATAGCAGCTTCTGTGAGCAAGGGGATGGAGGGGTGTGGGACAGGGGCAGCTGGATGATCCCCCCCACCCCTGCGAGGGCCCTGTCAGTGGGAGAAGGGGGGGTTTGGAACCAGGAGTCCCTGGAGCGTGGCCGCTGCGCATGCACCGCGTTGTGCCGGGGAACCCGAGCTGGGTCACTGGAGATCCGTGTGCTCGGCTCCCACAGCTCTGCTCCTGCTGCCATGGTGAGAGGGGATTCCAGAGCTTTGTCCCCTTCCACCACACCCAGCCTTTGGCACTGATCCTCTCCCTGGACTCTGCTCCTCTCCCCAGAGTCCAGACTCACCTGAGCAGGTTCCCGATAACCCAAGCGGCATCGAGGACGCCGTGCACAGCCCAGGGAGCCCGGTAGCCGAGCCAAGGAGGAGGGCACAGGGGACACAGCCCTCCCTGGGACACGTGGGTGAGCTGTTTGTGGGTTTTGGGAATGGGGAGGGTGCCCTGAGCCCTGAACTCCCACAGAATCCGTGGCCTTAGCTCTGCTCCTCCTGGCACTGCAGGAGAGGAGCACTGAGCCCTAGAAACTGGTGCCCAGTGACCCAGGGGCTTCACCAGGGCTTGGGAGAGCTGTGAGAGGTGGACAAACCACACTGATCCTCTGTCTCTCTTTTAAAGATCCTGCTGAGGCATCTTTTGGGACTCTCTGCACCCTCAGGAGGCTGTTCCTGCTGCTTGGGGTCGCAGGGCTGCTGGCGGGGACGGCGGCTGGGACGTGGCTGCTGGGTCAGTGTGTCCCCAGGACGGCCCTGCTGCGAGTTTGGGGTGTCAGCACTGGGGAGGGTGTGATGGGAGCTCCTTGGTCAGTCAGCTGTGGCTTGGGATGGAGAGATGTGGCTGGTGTGGGCTCTGCTGCCGTGGTGCCAGAAAGGCTCCACGTGTGCCCTCTTCCAGTGGCACTGCAGGATTGTCCCCAATATCGTGCATCCTGGGTGCTGCCCAGGCTGTGTGGGTCCATGTGCACCCCCTTCTCTGTTTCCTGCAGTGAAACACCTTCAGGAGGCTCACCCAGAGCAGGGGTCCCCCCCTCTGCAGGAGCTGGATGCGATCCCAGCGTGTGGTGACGGGGAAGAGGAAGAGCCCGTGGTCCGGGGGTCTCCCAGTACAGGTTTGTGTCTTTGCTTGCTGCCAAAAAGGGTGGGGAGAGGGCTTCTGCCAAGCCCAGAAAGAGCAGAAAAGAGGCTCTTTAAGAACAAAGATCTCCTGCTGACCCACTAGCTGCATTTTGCAGTTGTTTTGCTTTTCTTCTAAGTCCTGTTGCTCCCCCCAGAACTGCAGCTCCGTTGCATGGGGGGATCCCACAGCAAAGGCAACTCTTGCAGGGCTCCTTTGCCTGGCACCACCCAGTGACTGGGATCACTCATAGCTTCCAGTTGCTCAAATGGCTTTTTCTGGGGGTTTGGGTGGGTTCTTCTTGCTGTAGCCGTGTGTGACCTGCACAGAACACTGCCAAGGGGGCTCGCAGGTTGTCTTTAATGGAATGGCTTTAGTGTCTTTCAGAATAAACACGGCGAACTCCCTGCTGGAAGCTCAGCTGGAAGGACATCCTGGCTGGCTCCTGGTGTGCCACGAGGGCTGGAATGGCTCCCTGGGCACCCTGCTCTGCCAGCAGCTCGGGTACCTCAGGTGGGTATGGCAGAGGCGGCTGCTTGGGCCCCTGTTTGCCCCGTTCTGAGGGGGATGATCTTGGCAAAAGCAGGAGATTGAAGGCTGGGGGTTTGTCAGGGCAGCAGGTGGAACCTGGGACTTGGGATGGCCCAGGGACCTGCAAGGACAGCTCCAGAAGACCCTCCCTGCCCAGGGGTTCATTTCCAGCTGCCAGAGCTGCAGGACTGCGGGAGCCTTGTTCCCATGGCAGGATCACATTCCTGATCCCCTTCCTGGGGCAATTCCCGTTTTTTTTGCAGAATGACCCATCAGAAAGGAGTGAACCTGACGGATGTCAGGGTGAACGAGGAGCAGCAGTTCCTTCAGGTCAGACCCCACCAGGAAGAGAGCCTGGAAGACTTGTGGCAGGTCAGGTAAGGGCAGCTCTGGGGGAAGCAGAGTTGGCTGAAGCCTTTTCTTTCAGGCTTAAGAACACGGCAAACTGTGCAGGTGCTGTGCAGTAAACAGCCCCTTTGGGAAGTGCTGCAGCCACCCTGGGGCTCCCCAGTGCCCCGGGGGTTTTGGTTGCTGTTTATCCTGCCCAGGAGGATTTATTCCTGCTGTTTCTCTCTGCACAGGAGCAGCTGTGGATCGGGGCGAGTCGTGGCTCTCAAGTGCTCAGGTGAGCGATTCCCTCCTCTCCTGTGTCCCCAGGATCTCTACCCAGATCCAGCAGCTTCTTTCCTCCCGTTCCACCCGCTCCCCTCACCCTCCAGCGTGAGGGTGTGGGGCTGGAGCCCGTCCTAACCCCTTGCAGAGTGTGGGCTGCCCCCCGGGGCCGTGCGGGTGGTCGGGGGGGCAGATGTGCCCCCTGGGCGCTGGCCCTGGCAGGTCAGTGTGTGCCAGGGCTCCCAGCACCGCTGTGGGGGCTCGGTGCTGGCACGGGAGTGGATCATCACGGCGGCTCACTGCGTGCACAGGTACCCCCAGGCCCCTCCTGCTCACCCTGCTGTGCCCCCAGTGCCCACTGCCCTCGGGTCAGGGCACACTGTGTTCTGTGTTCTGCTCAGCTCCAGGAGGCTCCAGGGCTCTGCCTGGCGGGTGTTTGCAGGGATTGTCACCCACGGCTCCCTCAGGCAGGAGGCCGGGGTGCCAGTCCAGGAGGTCGTTCCCCACCCGCTCTACAACCACAACAGCCTCGACTACGACATCGCCCTCATGAAGCTACGAGTGCCCCTGAATTTCTCGGGTAAGTCATTGTGTCCTTCTGTGGAGTTGTCTGTCCTGTCCCACCGTGAAAAGCTGCCCAAAAACGAACCTCTTCGGAACCTGCCCCTTCAGAGCAACTCTTACAAAATCAAAATCACAGAGTGGTTTGGGTTGGAAGGGACCTTAAAGCTCATCCAACCCCCTACCATGGACAGGGACAACCTTCCCAGGTTGCTCAAAGCTCCATCCAGGCTGGCCTTGATCCTCAGCTGGCTCAGAGGTGTCCCATCTTCACATGGGATGGCTTTGGCTGCCTCGACTCGGACGCCAAGGTGCCGGGGGGTAGACCTGGTGTCCGAACCCGGTGGGTAGACCTGGTGTCCGAAC